CCGCCGCGGGCGGCGCCTGACCGACCGATGAGGCTGTGACGCCAGCTCCGCTCTCGCTCGAAACGGGAACGACGTCAGGCGATGGCCCCCGCCTTGCCTCAATGGCGACACTCTTCTTGGGCGCTAGCGCCAAAGAAGTGCCCTGTCTCACCTGTCTCCTGACGCTATATAAGAAACAAAAGGCGTGAGTCATGATGAAAACAGACGAAAATAGAGAAAAATAGAGAAAACAGAGAAGCTGGTGACTTACGCTAGCGCCGTTGGGCTGTGGAGACGTTTGGGGGATGAACCCCAGGGCCCCTACTCTACCTCGTTGGGGCGGGACCATTTTGAGCCTGTCCCTACTCCTAGGCAGAGGGACCCACCTCCCTTGCTGTCGGGGGCGCGGCAGCGGAGCCGCCAACCCTCCACCGACACCTCAGGTGCAGCGACAGATCCGCCCGCACCTGATAGCTCTTGATGTGCGGCGATGGGGCCACCTCCCTGTGCTAGTGCCATGGGCACGGAGGCAGACCCGCCCGCTCCTGCTGTCTCCTGGGGCAAGACGACGGTTCGGTCCGTCTTCACTGGCCCCGCGGACGTGCTTTCCCCTGCATGGAATGAGAAAGGCCCCTGCACAGACGAGTATATACCTATTAGCGTATCCTCGCTCGCTAGGTCTTCCCACTCAGTGTTGGCAACTACCTCGTCATCCTCATCGTCGTCATCATCGTCGTCATCACTGTCTATCTCCTCTCCTTGCTCCCATGCCCGTAACTTCTGTTGTTTCTTCCTCCTCTCGTCCTCCTTGGCCTTCTTCTGCCACTCGGCCGTAGTGCGATTTGCCGCCTCCATGAGCGGGTCCTTTGGTAGTGGGGCCAGGCGATCCATAAAGACGAGTCTCTTCGGCAGGTTCCCCTATCTCAATATCAGCATGAAGGGGTTAGGAGTTTAATTAAAAAGGAGGCACGGGGAAAGAGAACTTACGAAGTCAATGTACCCTGGTTCTAGTCGCATTGGGGGATGCCCCAGCACTGGATACACAAAATCAAGAATGGCGCTGGCATCGTCCCGCGAAGGCTCCATCGCCTCCTTGATGTGTTGCGCCACTTCGGAGGGGGAGAGTGCTCCCTAGGCGAGCGTCGTCCCATCAAGCGCCACCCCGGGCGCCATCATATGCAGGGGAAGCACGCGCCTCATCAGCGGCGCCACTCTCCGCATGTGGTAGGCGCCGATGATCCCTGACCCCTTCATGCCCCTCTCCTTTAGAATTCGGATGGCGGCAAGATGGTCCTGGATTTTCTTCTTGTCTTTATCCGGGACCCCCACTTCCTCCATGATTCCGGGACCTCTTCGATGAGGCGCCCGGTGAATGCTGGCAAGTGGGCGGCTATGTCGTCCTTGACGTAGAACCAACGTGAATGCCACCCCTTGTTGGAGGTCGACAGACGCATCGGCGGGTATTCGTTTACCCAGTTGTTGCGGAGCTGAATACCGGCGCATCCCATCGGCACGCTCAGCTCTTGCCTCTTCTCCCGCTTCTTCAGGAGGGTGACGGCGAAGAAATACCGCCACAGGTCAAAGTGGGGACTAATCCCCAAGAACCCCTCACACAGGGCGACGAACGCTGCAATGTGTTGGATCCCATTGGGAGTAAGGTGTTGCAGCTCCACCTTGTAGTAATGTAGCAACCCCCGAAGGAACTTGTTGGCGGGGGTGGCGAATCCCCGCTCATGGAAGTGAGCAAAGGACACAACGTAGCCTTCGGGCGGCGATGGCACATCCTCATTGTCGGGCAGCCGCCCCTCCTCGGTGATGGCCCGTGCGCAAAGAAGGCCACGGAGAACGAGGCCCTCCAGGCGCTGGAGGGTGACATTGGATCTACACCACAGCTCCATCAAACGATTGGGGTGGATGGATGCGAACTTGACGGCGACTGAGATGCGGATGCGGGAGGCTTAGGCGATTGGCGGCGGAGGTTGTAGATGCAAAGGCAAGGAGGTGATGTACGAAACCCTGGGGGCAAACCCTTTGGTTTTATAGGGGCGACTGATGCGAGGAAGGCAACCGTCCACCTGGATCCCACGCCTGCCACAATTCGCCACCACGTCACCACGCGGGATATGCGCCAGCAATCCCTATCCTTTCCATCTGAAGACGCGCCGGACGTTTTGCCTCCCCGGGCAGACCAGGGCTCTTTACCAGCAAAAAGATATAGGTCAAAAAGCGTTCCTCTAGGTTTGGCTGGGCCCAGGAGTTCGAGGGCTGGCCCATCAACGGTTTCGACGAACCATCCCAAGGCATCCTTACGACAAAGGATGAGCCCGTGATCGGCCGAAACTCAGACGCACAAGTCTCACGAGAGTCTCGGTCCACGAACGAGTCTCAGCCGGGCTGACCCTGGATGGATCCCCGCGGATGGGATACCAGGACCCAAATTGGGCTATCCGGCTAAACAACCATCGAATCTCACAGCCATACCCGCGAAGGGTCCGAATCACCCCCCAGGCGATTCTATCCGAATCGCCCGGGGGCTCGGGCTACACCCGATGGGTGCGCTCGTGCGCACCCTCTGGCAAATCGAATCACCCTCGGGCAATTCTATCCAAATCACCCGGGGGCTCGGGGACTACTGTCGGGGACCGAATACTGGGGTACCCAAAGAGGAGGAGCTAATAATCATCAAACGTTGATGGTTCCGAACAGGCAAGAACGCGACCACACCTCTTGCCCAACGACCGAAGGTTAACTCCGCCTCATCCAACCCCTGAGGGTTGGCTCCGCCACGTCCGACCCCAGAGGGCTGGCTCCGCCTCGTCCGACCCCTCAGGGCTGGTTCCGCCTCGCTCGACGTCCGGGGGCAGGCTCCGCCTCGCCCAACATCCGGGGGTAGGCTCCGCCTCGCCCAACATCCGAGGGCAGGCTCCGCATCGCCCGATGTTCGGGGGTAGGCTCCGCCTCGCCCGACGTCTAAGGGTAGGCTCCGCCTCGCCCGACGTCCGGGTGCAGGCTCTGCCTCGCCCGACATCTGTGCGCTGCTCCTTCATAACTACGCGCGTAGATAAGACGGGGCACTCAAGTCAACCGCAATACCAAGGACCATACCCTACACACATATAGGAAAGTACCATCAGGATATGACCAGACGGGCACTTTAAGCCCTTCCAGGCATGTCAGAGCCCAAACAGTGTTGTGGGCGCCGACATTTGTCCTATAGTGTTATGGGCGCCGGCATTTGCCCTCGGACATGAATCCTGACAGAAACATATGACAACCACTATGGTCCAGGAGGAAACTCATGTCATCTATAGTAACAAACGTGGGGCCTCTACGCCAGCTGCTCCCCGTAGGGTCGCGGCTCGGCACCCTAGTGGGATGGGACGTGACCACTCGCTGAACGAAGCCAGAGCACGGCCCTATCAGGATCAGTGAACGTGCTATCCCTGGCATCGTCTGCCATGTCAGCAGGGCAGGCTCAAAGGAAAAGGAAGACCCGGCACCTTCGAATGACCTTCTCTACATCTGGTTTTTCCTCTTTCTCCCATCTGTAATCTCTGCTCTCCCTTGATCTATAAAAGGGAGGACAGGACACCCCACTAAAGGGACGAATCAATTCAACACACCACGCATCACATAACACACAGCTGAGCAGCAACCAAGCTCTCAGCGCCTTTTCAATCTTTCCATCAGAGACTTAGGACATATCCCTCTCTTGATCATTTGTAGCCCCTACTACGAACCTTTCAGTGCTAATAACACGAGCAGCAGCCGCAAACTGGACGTAGGGACATTCTGTCCGAACCAGTATAAATATTGTTTCTTTTAGCACACCATCCGGGCCCAACGCATAATAAATATAAATTTACTAGTTGGTGTTTACTCGAAACACTGACACATACATTCATTCTTTGATATGTTGATGATGGGGATTGATGTATCAGTGAGCTCATCTTTGCAAGTATACTCCTTATTGTGAAGTTTGGACAGCACCATGTTTGAAGAATTGATACTACGTGGCTGTTTTGTTGTTTGTGCCTAAAGTGTTCGCTGGAATGCTTGTGAGTAATTAGCTGCTAGTTTTGATGTTTTCTCTGCCCCTCTGTGCTCACAATATCGCTTGTTTCCGGTTCCACGTTCTCGTACCCTATCGTGATCATGCTGCTAGGGGGATTTTAATAATCCAACAACTATATAACTCTGGTATTTGAAGATAACACATCCAACAAACTAGAATCGATGGTAATAATCTAGGATCTAAGCATGCATAGTATATTTTTAACCTAGAACCCAGATTCTATCATCACTATCTACGCACTGACCTCCAAAATGAAGGGATGCGGTTTTAGACGATTTCAATAGTGACACTCATTCAATCACTAATGTGTACGGTCTTGATACGACAGTGAGTCTCGTCAAATCACTATTGGGTAAACACCTATCACTGCAAGTTTCAGACTCGGTGGTGACACGACTAGAGATATCACCGTCGAGTATAGACCCTTAACCTGCAGTTTATGATAAAAAGAAAGTCACAGTTGGGTCTAGCAAACTCCATCGCTATTGATTTTCCTTTGTCTGATCTGACTCCGATTGTGATGCTGGATATAGACTCTCTGTAGTGATCCATACGTCCAGAGTAGTGCTTGATTGAACTAAAACTAGTTGTGCTAATTATTTCAAATTTCTAATTATATATAACATAGGTGGAAAATAAAATGGGCACTGCTAGCACCTGGATGTTCGGACAGACGCCCGTGGCTACATTGTTTTTGTCGGCGCCGAATCAGTGCAACTAAACGAGGCCAGAGATCGGATGGCTCTGAAATCGAGTGAGGGACGCCCATAAATCACTCGGGTGACCGTTAGATTTAGCGTAATACTAGCCATACACACAGGATGTGCGTTTATTTTAATTTTTCTCATCACGAAGAGAGTGGTTCTGTGCATTGCACTGCAAACCAACACACAGGTTCCGTTGATATCAAACATACACACACACACAGGTTCCGTTGGAGGTTGGATCAGTTGTTCTGAAGGACTCTCTGGAGCTGAGCTCCGAGCGCCGGCAGCGTGATGGGCTTGTGGATGAGCCCGTCCACTCCCGCCCGCCGGCACATGTCACGCACGCTGTCATCGACACCGCTGGCCTCCACGGCGACGAGGACCAGCAGCCAGCAGGTGCTACTGAGCTCCCGGATCCTGAGGGCCACCTCGAACCCATCCATGGCGGCTGCCGTGCCGGCTCCCGCCTTGTCCATCGAGATCAAGAACCACGAGCTCAAACGACGGGTCGGCGCCGCCTCCCAGCACCTGGCAGCCGAGCCGCTTGAGGAGCTTACGGGTCACCTCCATGCTCATGGCGTCGCTGTCGGCAAGCAGGATCCTCAGGCCGTTGAAGTGGAGGTGAGGAGCTGCCGCAGACGAGGCTCCAACTCCAATCCGGTACGTGCCTGATCCTGGCACATGCGGATTCAGTGGCTGATGCTGTTGGAACCGAAGGATGCACGTCATGGTTTCTCCAAGGCCTTCGGACTCTCATGCCCACCACATGTCACCATTCATCATCTGAAGAAATTGTATATATAACTCCCAATTATATATATGCAGTATGCATAATACGATCGGTGGCAAAACAACTGTACCTCCACAATCCTTTTGCACATAGCGAAGGTTAGGCGCATGCCTGCACCGCCGGAATCGGGGGAGATGCCACATTTAGCCTGGGGCGGGCGGGATGCCGGCGAGCTCCCAGGATCGCTCTTCGACAGCCCAATTTGGAACCTGACAAATACTTGGTTGCCGCCGGTGAAGCTGATGGGTCGCAGTGGCGACGGGATCCAGTCCTGGTGCTCACCGGCGATGCTACTGCGGCTGCAGACAGAAAACGAGAGGACACGGCCTGCGGCTACATGGCCATGGCATCGACTGAGCAGAGCGCCCACCATGTGCAGCACAAGGTGGAAGACTCTCTTGTCGTCGCCGACCACCCACTCGGGTAGGGAATTGACCGCCAGCTGGTGCGAGAAGCCGAGCCCACGGCAGCCGGACAAGCATCGGGTAGCGAAGGCCGCGTCCCTGATCAGCGAGCGGAGCTCGAACGGCCGCCTCGACACCAGGGTAGGAGTAGGAGTAGGACTGGCCGACAGCGGCGGGTCACGGATGTCCACCATTCTCGGCAGGGTCTCCATGACGTCGTCCATGAGAGTGGAGGACACAGCGCTTGTCCTGGCGATGGCGTCGACGATGAGCCTCTGCTCCGGGCCCATCGCGGCGGCCTCCTGCTGCATCACCGAGAGCAGGCCGACGACGGCGTGCATCGGCCTCCCTATGGCGTTCCGCATCGCGCTGTGGGCGGTGTTCCTCGCCTTGGTCGCCGCCGCGAGGTCGCTCCGTGCGCGCAGCAGCGCGCCGTGCTGCTCCGCCAGCTTGTGCCGGATCAGCTGCGACTCCTCCACTAGGGCCGCCGCGTGGGACAGCGCGACGGCGACCTGGTCGGCGACGGCCTGCACAATCTCCAGGTCCTGGTTGCTCCAGCCTGTAGGTAGCCTTCTATGGTGGTGATCATCGTCACCTCGAAGGACCATGACTAGGATGGCGTAGCTCAACAGCTCTGATGTGTGTGCCGGCCGTATGGCTCCTCCGTGGAAATTTGGGATCCGTATGGCGGCCGCGGCTCCTGCCTGCGGCAGGCTCCGGCAGCTCGCCGCCTTAAGAGCCGAGCCTGGCCAGCTGAGCATCTTGGCGTCCTTGCTGTCCAATACGGCGGCCACGTCAGGGTCACGAACGGAGATGGCGCCTACTGTGCCGCCGCTGTGACTGTGATGAAGCACCTTGTCGTCTTCGTCGTCTGCCAGCAGCTGGTGCGTGAGCTGGAGCACGCCGCCGCCGTCGGTCCCGCTCCCGCCGCGCTGCTGGGGCATCCAGACGGCGCAGTTGCTGAGTCCGAGCGCGGCGGCGAGCTGGAGCATGGTGGTCCGGAGGATGGTGCGCGCGTCGACGGAGTCGCGGATGTGATGCGTGACGGCGCGGACGACGCGCCAGACGGTCTCCTCGCGGCGCCTGACAGTGGCGAGGTCGCGGTCGAGCTGGCGCGCCTTGGTGCGGAGGAAGGACTCGCAGACCTTGAGGCGGAGCAGGCGCGGGAAGAGGATCGGGAGGGAGACGGCGGCGGCGGAGGTGACGAGCGCGCCCAGGACCTTGGCGGTGGTGAGCGCGGCGAGGACGGCGCGGGAGCCCGGGCGGTCGTAGGCGAGGGCGTTCAGCAGGTGGGCCACGCCGCACATGACGATGAAGGTGCCCAACTGGAGGAGCACCCGCCGGAGAGGCGCCAGCGCGGCGCACGTGGCGAAGTAGAGCAGCTCCAGCGGGATGGACAGCAGCGACGCCGCGATGAGCAGGTCGCTCACCTTCTGCCACTGCAGCATCGCCTCCACCGCAGCTTCCTCACGCCCGTCGCACCCGCCGCAGCGCCGCGCCAGAACTGCACCCTGTCCCGCCGACGCCATTAATTCGATCTTTCGCCCCCACCCACTGGCTGCCTCATTCCTTTACCTGCTATATGCATGATTATATTGCATTTGCGATGAGACGAAGACACTGCTGGGATCGAGAGGCTCTGCGAGGAAGACAGGTGTGCCTTGGCCTTTTGCATGCAGGATGCAGCGCAGCAGCGTAGTACGTTCCATCCATGCAGCGAGCAGCGTTACCTTTTGGATTTATGCCGCACAACAGCGGTAATATTTCCATTTTGTTAAGTCATCTAAAAATTATTATTCAGAAAATGCATGCTCCCAGTACTCACAGACAAGTGACATTTTAGGGTTATTATTAAGTTATAATTATTCCAAACTTTGATTTTTTTTTACTATGATTACTGTAGTATTTAAAAGTGATGCTAGTAGCTTTGTTCGAAATGTAGTTTCATAAAGTGGAAAGCCAAGGGCATGTTTGGTACAGTTCACCTTCACGAGTGAAGTTTTTTTTTTTTTTTTTTGCTTCGGCTCCGTAAAGCAGCTTCACGAAAAACAGCTTTTTCAGGAAGATAACAGAGAGAAAGTTGAGAGAAACTAGTATTTTCAGCTTCACCTCGGTTCTTTTTTTGAACTGTGAGAGGAGCTCAAAAACCGATTTTAGGGAGATATGTTTTGGGGCCTGTTTGTTAAGAAAAGATGAGAAACAACTCTGTGAAGCTGGAATCGAATCCATACAAAACAGGGTGTAAGTAACTAAGTCCCCTAGTTTGGAGGTTTGTCCATGTCAACAAAAATTATTTAGGCTCCTTCTAAATACGATATTTTTCTGTTCCCTGTGTCTTTTTTCTTTTTCTTTTGAAGATAAACTGTTTTGAATTTCTACGTTGTAAAGGAGGCTATCTTTAGTGGCATTGAGTGTTCAATTGTAACATGAAAAGTTTTATGGTTTAATTCGAGGTTGAAAGTCGGGTTCAGAATTAATAGGCTCAGGGTAGTGGTATTTCTTATAGATAATAGATTATTATTAAAACTAACCTCAAGATAATAAGTTATTGTTGCAAATATGCATAACTGGAGGCTGTGTTCGTGTTCTAGCTAAGTGACAGTACAGTAGCCTATTCTGTCTGCTTCTCGCCTGAACGCCAAAGGACAATGCAATATGACAGTGGAGTTCGTCGTTGGTGCGCAGCCCGCCAATTGCCCCCATGCTGCGTACATGGAGTTCTGGGAAGAAGAAGAGGCCAATGTCCCATTGTCTACGCGGCCGCCGCCACCTAGGGTAGAACCACCGTCACCTACCTGCTCCTCGCTCCGCCACCGCCGCCGTCGCGCCTAGGCCCCCTCTTCTTCTTTTCTCTCAGGTGCATCTACCGGAGACAAGAAGAGAAGGGGACTCATTCTTTTTCCGCTGTTTTTTAGTGTCTTAGTGTTGAGTCCAAATAAACTTCGAGCGAAATTAGATGATTTTTTGTCGGGATTGTGTGTCCTACGTTGACTTCGGTGATTGCTATGACGAGATCGACGTTGCATGCGTTGATTTCATCAGCGAGCAGCCAATTTGTAGCCTTTATCTGCAAGGGGAGGGGTGCTTCTGGGAGCACCATATGAGGATAGCGACTCCAGGTCATCGATCTTATCATTGAGGGTTGTGAGAGGAAATCAATGTCTCGAGATGATGAATCTGCATCATATGTCGTACCCGATGATGCAACTGCCGATGTTCTTTCAGCGATTTAGATGTGTTTTGGACTAGTTCCGAAGTGTTAGACCTTGCGGCATGTCCAATGTTGGGTTGGTCGTTGGATTCAGTACGAGGACTGTACTTTGGCTTCGGCGTTCGAGTGAAGTCATTAGGGAAGAACATGATGGAAGAATCTAAAAAAAATATTATGTATTTTTTATTTTATATTTTTTATATATAATTTAGGGATGTACTGTGCCAAAATTTAATATAAGTTTCTCTTTCCTTTGAAAAAAAAATATCTCACTGTGTACAAGTCGATCACAGCCTGGCCCAACATGCGCGACGGATCCTTCCAGCCTAGTCTCCCCACGGCATCATCGCCCACCTGCGGCCGCACGGGGGCGCATCAACGGCTCCCGGCGGTAGTGGAGGTGGAGTCCGCGGCGCCGTACGAGGACTTCCGTTTGTCGAATCGTCGATGGTGGAGATGGTGACGGAGAAGACAACGGTTACGGATGTCACGCTCCCAGTTGACTCACACGAATCCTAGAGCCACCGCGGCCACTGGATAATATGTGCGTGCACATAGTGGTGGAAAATACGTGTTGGTTATTCATTGAGATAATTTAGCATTGAGTGATTAGCTGTACGCACTTCATTTCAAATTATAGGATGTTTTGATTTTTTTAGATACATAGTTTTTTTTTTGTTATATACTTAAATACACATTATGCCTAGCTAGAAAAGCCAAAACTTGTTGTAATTTAGAACTAATGGAGTAACCTGAAAGGTTTTATGATTTAATTCTTAGTTGAAAATCAGACAGATTAATATGTTTACGATAGTGTTATTTTTTTATAACTACTATGTATATTATTATTTTACTTCAAGATAAGTTACATTGTTGCAAATATGATTGGATGCCTATGTGAATGTGACTATGTGAGCGTATTCATCCGTAATCTGATTCGAAAAAAAGGGTGAAAGTACAAAGCTACACAGCCTATCAGGCTATCACGTTGAGGATGTATACGCATGTCCACCGCTGCCTATTCTGACGGCCGCGAGCACCGCGTCAGTTCATTGCACCATCACATCATGTTGCGTTGAAAAATCACTTGTTGCAAACGTACATTTGGGATGTTTTAGAGGTACGTTGTAAGTGTTTCGTACGGATGTTCACTACGTGAAAAAACGATTTTTAGCAACGGAACAAATTTTTTGTAGGGACGGCTGGTGATGGAGCCGCCCCTACAGTGGCGTGTTTGAGAGCCACGAGACCAGCCACCCCTACAAATGGAACAGCAGGAGCGGCTGGTGATACGAGCCGCCTCTACAAATGGGTCGGATTTGCCCCTGGTATTTCTATTTGTAGGACGGCTCAATCACGAACCGCCCTTACTCTGCGAACTGCGGCAGTTTATCCGAGGTACCCCTGCCCCACCCCTAGACGTCTGCTGGCCCCGTGCGCTCTCACACTCTCTCGCCGCCCCCGCGCTACGCCAGGTGCCGAGGGGCTTCGCCAGGCCCTTGGCCGCTCGCCAGCAACGAGCGAGGTCTCACGACGATCGGATCCGCATGCTCGTCGGCCGGATCCGGTGGTGGCTGGTCCGGGCTTGCCTCCCCTCCGCGCGGTGACGACCGGACTGCGGTCCTGCAAGCGTGGTGGCGGCTCGATCCGCGCGGTGGCGACCGGATCTGAGGTCCTAGCGGCTAGATCCGTGGGATTGGCGGCCTGAGCTGCGCGGAGGGCGTCCGGGCATGGCCTCCTCGGCTCCTTCCATTTCCGGTAGATCTGGGCGCCCTCAAGGTGAGCCGCCCACACCTGGAACCCTACCCCATATACATGACGGACTGCGGCCTGCCCACACCGCCGTCGCATGTGTTCTTCGCTTCAACTTCCTCGGCGAGCAGAAGAGAGGCTCCGAGGTCCCGCTCGATCCAGCATCCGTCGTCACCGGAGTCGCCGACCAAGAGGATGTTTCTCACGAGGTGACTGGCCGGTTTCAGATCCCTCTGTCCTTGAAACCCTTTGGATTCAGTCTGCCGGCGGCGGCGCGTCGTGTGCTGAGTTGCTGACGCGTTTGCATTTTGTGTTTGGGGGTCTTTGCAGGACGGAGTACGACCGCTGGGTGAACACCTTCTCGCGGGAGGGGCGGCTGTTCCAGTCGAGTACGCCATCGAGGCCATCAAGGTGAGATCCCTCTCGTTCTTCAGCTCCCTTCGTAGTGTTCTATCGGAAGGGCGACGTCTTTATGTCGGATCGAATTTGAACACAAGTGGCGGCCGCCGAGATGCTTTGGTGCCCGTGCGGGCTGGTGGGGGGACTTTTGTGACGACGAGTCTAGATTTGTGGGTTAGCTGTTTTTATGTGAGCGCAAATCTAAAAGGGCGCAATTGGGGGGTTTTAGGATTTATAGAATTGCTGGGATTTCTGAGTTGAGGGTGTTATAGGATGAAGTCAGGAGTATGGCTCACTCGATCTTACTAGTTGAGGTTTGGGATTGTGGAAGGTTTGTGGTTCTGTGTCTAGTCGGGTTTATTATCGTGTCGGGCTTCAAACTTGACATGTGATGGCATGCTCTATTTTCCTCAATAGCACCGGATTGTCATTGCATTACTAACTGTAAAAAAGTAGCTCAAGGACAAGCACTTGCACTCAAGTACACACGTTGTACTGAATTTTGTGCAATTTGCCGTGCCTTTACTTGTGAGATTTATGTGGGTTTTGTGTGACAAAGTGATGCTCATGTTGTTGTTCCTTTGCTCTTGCAGTTGGGATCCACCGCGATTGGGTTGAAGACAAAGGATGGTGTTGTCCTTGCTTTGTTGAGAAACGTGTGACCTCTCCACTTCTTTGGTACTTACCGAAAGTTACTTTTTCATTCCCCCTAGCTGGTACTAGGGCTTGATTGTATGGTGGCAAAGATTGGGATGTTAAATTTCGAACAATGGAACATTGCTTGCTGACCAAACGTTTATGATTGAATTATTGTGATTTCTTATACAAGGTTTATGGTCTTTAGGTTAGCTCCTCTTTCACAAAGTTGTGCGGCCCCTCATTCTATTGCATTTTTGGCAATATTTTAACCTACAGCTGATGCAATCGTAGAGTTTGAGCTCAACTTTATGCAATTTTGTGCTATGATAACAGGAATGGTTTTTATCAGAGGAAATGGCAGCTCCACTTAGCCTCTGGTTTTCATGATATAGGTTGTTTCATGTTTAAATTGTTAATGAATTCAGTTTTCCTTTGCCTTTTGATGTTATAGGAACCAAGCAGTGTGGAGAAAATCATGGAAATTGATGAGCACATAGGCTGTGCCATGAGTGGACTTATTGCTGATGC